CTCCAGAGAAGGTATTTGTAGAAAAGAGAAATAGAGAAAAGGCTTGAGCTCAGAGACTCTCCAAGGTGTAGTGTAGTTTAAAGATGACAGAGAACGTCCAATGAAACTAAGACAGCATTTTCAGGGCAGACACTGAGTGTGACCTCTGGAAAAGCAGAGGTCATTGTGGTCCAGGCTGGGTGGTGTCACATATTGCTGGTATATTCTCTCTCTGCTGATGTCTGGTACCCTCAGAAGTTTGGTCAAGTAGCTTGGAACAATTTGTCCCTGGTTGTGTGGGTGGGTCCCATATCTCAAGATTAAACAGAGCAACTAGAGGGTCCCAGTCAGGCAGCTGACAGGACTCTGGGTTTCTGAAGGAGTCACAGTCTCACCAAATCCTGAAACTGGATTGGAGGTTTATGACAGCTGTGGGTCTATCTGGAAAATAGGATTCCTTATCTTCCACCTGTTTTACCATTTAGAAGCAGCGTTTGCTGATTATCCTGCCACTAGGGAGCTGCCCAGATGAGGCAGTATTTGGTCTCTCTGTGTTGTGCATCTTTGTCCTGCTCCCCCCAACCTGGCCCTGTATATTTCATTTACTTTGTGAGTTATCAAAGCCCTTCCTCTTTTTTTCTTTTGGAACAGAGTCTACTTCCCCCTAATTCTGACTATCTTGTTCACTGGCTTACAGGTAGAATCATCTAATCTATGATTTCACCCCAAAACCTTATTTTCAAGATAGGGTCCCGCTATATAGTCTAGGCTGGCATTGAACTTGCAATTATTTTGTCTTAGATATCTGAGTGCTGTGTTTACAGATGTGATCCACAATGCTCGGATGAAGCCTTAACTAATTATTCTTTATCAATAGAAAACTGGGAGTCAGATATTGGGGTAAGAACTTGAAAGATCAGAGAAGCAGAGGAGCAGGCACCAGTGACTTCCTTCCTCTTCTGTTCCTTCCTTCAGAAGGGCCGAGATCCTCTCTCAGCCCCGCCTTACTACTTCCTGTCTCCCATCTGTCTACAGTCCTCCAAACCTCTATGGTTAATTTTGGTCAGCTATTGGCTAGCTCTGCCCTCTGACTCCAAGCAAGCTTTATTTGTCAGAACACAATCAAAATATCACACAACACTCAGAATTATTTTTTTTTCATTTTTTATACTTTGGTTCTATCAATCCCTCCCTTCCCTCCCCCAGCTCCTACCAGAACCTTCCATCATATCGTCTTCTCAACTTCATCTCCTCTTTCCATAGCCCACTGAGTCTAATCAGTACTGTCCTTATGTGGGTTTAGGGACAGCCAGTAGAGCATGAGCATCTATCTCAACAGACGACACTTCCCTGACAAGAAATTTCTCTCTCCTTTTCTTCAGCCTTCAACTATCAAAGTTCTTCACCTAAGGATGGGACTTCATGAGTTTATCTCCTCACTACTCAGGAATTTTGACTGGCTTGGGCTTGTACAGGTCTTATCAGGCAACCACAGCTTCTGTGAGTCCATTGAACCTACATGTCCAGAAGACACCTTCTTGCAGCCATCCTCCCTAACTTTTTGCCCTTAAAATCTTTCCACCTGCCCCATCACATTGTTCCTTGAGCCATGTGGGAAGGGAGCACATTAGATGTCTTATTTAGGGCTGAGAACTCTACATTAACTTATCTTTTACACTATGATTATCTGCTGGTTTGTCTTGATGGCCACCAACCAAAAAAAGCTTAATTTGTTCTTAATCGATCTTTATGGGCCTGGCTATGAAACCCACATTGTTGTGTGTGCTACAGATGAAAAGGAGACAAAGCCAATGTTAGCCAATGAGTTGATTAGATATGATGCTGATTGGCCTAGAGAAGAGGGGGCAGTTTATGTGATAATAATGGTGACCCAAGGGATTTATTCCCAGGCTGGTGGGAGACAGGCAGAGAGTATGATGTCTAATGACATCAATGTTAACCAGATGCCTCAGTCTCAACATGTGGGGTGTTAGGAAGTGGTGAGTTCTAAGGCATGTAAAGGAGAAAGGGTACAAAGCATGTGTGTTGCAAACAGTTTAGGGTGTAAAAATTGTGATAGAGGAGAATGCTCCAGTTGTGTGAGACATCCTGAAGGAGGAAGCTGGAGCCATCAGTGGGAGCATGGTATTTGCTTGCATGGTAGAGATACCAGTGAGACTGACATGGTCTTGACTTTGCTCATTGTGTGTACAGTGATGGTGGTAGGTGAGAATGCAGTCAGAGGAGTAACAATTAAGCCTCACTAAGCCTTGTAGACCAGGTATAGTGCTCATATATCATAGCAATGGGAGCAGAGTAACTGGAAGCTATGGGGACAGTACAGAAGTGATTCATTTCTTTTAAAAGGACTTCAGGAGTCATATGATATTGGAGGTGGGCATAGTGGTTGGAACTTACATGAAAGAAGGAGATAAAGAAGGACATTGGTAGATGATTTAATTAGGTACAAGACTGACTGGCCCAGATAAATGGGGACAGTTTGGTGTTAAGAATGATGACCCACAGGGTTGACTTCCAGCCACTCAGTGTGAAGAATGCAAGTTATTATTACATTGTTAGGAAATACAGAGTGTGAGTCAGGTCATTTGAATATACTGTGAGCTCAATTGAGAATGTGATCAGTTGGATCTTTACATTCAAAATGAATTGTTTATGTATGGATAAACTGTTCTGAAATTCAGTTAGGAGAGAGAGAGAGAGAGAGAGAGAGAGAGAGAGAGAGAGAGAGAGAGAGAGAGAGAGAGATTGAGATTGTGTGTGTGCATGTGTGTATGCATGTGTGTGTTCACATAGACAGATCAATGAATTATATGTAGATACACACAGCCAACTATGTAGATTATGCACATTGATAGGTAAATGACAGATAGATGGTAGTATTGAGTTTATTGAGATGACTCCAGATAAGGTATTTGTAGAAAAGAGAAATAGAGGAAAGGCTTGAGCTCAGAGACTCTCCAAGGTGTAGTGTAGTTTAAAGATGACAGAGAACCTCCAATGAAACTAAGACAGCATTTTCAGGGCCGACACTGAGTGTGACCTCTGGAAAAACAGAGGTCATTGTGGTCCAGGCTGGGTGGTGTCACATATTGCTGGTATATTGAGGTACAATACATGACCTAAATATCTGGGTGAAGGACTAACATCCCTATGCTACCCAAAGCCACCAATCCTGATGAAGTGTAGCCCAGATCCACTGCTATAGGGTTATAGCGCAAATCCTGTGGTCTAAATCACCACATGATGAACTCCCCATAGCTCCTTGGGAACCTGGCTTTTCTGACATCAGCTAACTCAAGCTCTTTTTTTTTCTGTATCTCCAGGACCATTACCCAGCCTTCCATCTGCACAGTTCCAGGAGCTGTGACTTCCATGAGCAGTGATGTGGCCATCTTCTGCAGGACCCCTCTGGGAGTGACCAGTGTGCACCTAACCCATTATATACCCAGTATGTGTGCAAAGTGGTATGAGTGAATCCCACAAGGATCCCAGGAAGTGTTTAAGTTCAGTCTGCAGAATACGACACACACCAATGCGGGGGTTTACTACTGTGGATACTACAAGGAAGACCAATGGTCATGACTTAGTGGCAACTTGGAGCTGGGGGTGACAGGTGAGTAACTGTCTAAGAACTTTAGTCTTAACATCTGCTACCTACCTCACTACACCACATACACCTCATCACAGGCCCTGCATTGTACCAGGCCTTTTCTTTTGGTCCACCAACCAGCTCCCAAATCATGACATGGAGACTTATTATTAGTTTTGAATTCTCAGCCTTAGCTTAGGCTCATTTCTGGCTAGCTCTTTTAACTTAAATTAACTTGTTTCTCCTCATCTACCTCTTGCTGTGGGGATTTTTACTTTTTCTTTCTGAATATCTTACTTTCACTCTTTCTCGTGTCTTGCAGGCCGGCAGCTGCCTGGCTTCTTGCCCCGGGCATGCCCCTCTCCTTCTCCCTCAGTCTCTCTTCTCTTCTCCTCTTGTTCCTCTAGACTCCTCCTCCCTCGGCCTGCCAGCCCTGCCTGTCCTTTGTCCTGCCTAGCTATTGGTCTTCAGCTTTAGGTGCCTCAGGCAGGCAAGGCAAGGCAAGTGCAATACATTTTTACACAATTCAATGAGCGCAGCATAAACAACAGTAACACACCTTTACACAGTTAAAGTCACGTTCTGTAGCATAAGCAAATGTAACACATCTTGCCTAGTTAAAATAATATCCCACAACACTGAATTATACTTATGCACCCATATATTGGTCCCTCCCCTCTCCTCTTTCTCGTCTCTTTCTTTCCCTCTCCTCCCCTCCCTTCTCTTCCCCTTTTTATCTCTTCCTTTCCTTTCTTTACTCTTCTGTCTTCTCTCCCTTTCCTTGTTTACTTTTTTGAAACGGACTCTCATACAGCTCAGGGTGGTCTTTACCTTGCTTTGTAATGGAGTATGACCTTGGACTTCTGGTCCTCCTGCCTCTACCCTAAAGGTGCTGACATTGTGGGCATGAACCACCACACTATGTTGTGCTGAGACTTAAACTTAGGGCTTCATATACATACCAGGCAAAAACACTCTACCAATGAGCAACATCCCCAGGCTGTCTGTGATGCTTTGTGACCCTCCCTCTGTGTTAACAGTGGTCTCAGCTCCCTTGACAATGGTGAATGAAATTCACAAGGGGATGCAGCCCATGGGACCTGACACCAGCCTTCTGTACCTATATAGAGCCTCTTGATGGTCCTGGTTTATGGCAAATGTTGCGAACATGTTTTGTGATCTGCAAAGATTGGCAATGGGTGGACATCTTTTTGTCTTCATCCTTTCTTCTCTCTGGTCAGACTGTGAATTGTGGGATTGTTTCATTAATGGTTTAAACAGCATACTCTACTTACTGCCAGGTTTCTACAGGGACAAACCACTCCTGGCAGTTTGTTCAGGACCCCAGGGGGCCATAGGAAGAACTATATGTCTCTTCTGTCACACACATAATTATCTTCATCAGCTGCAGAGATGGAATTGCTTCCTTTCCCCAGAACTGCTCACATCAGGACCACAACACATTCCTCATCTCCCATGTGAGCCCAGGGCATAGGAAGGCCTACAGATGCTTTGGCTCTTACAAACACAATTCCTACTTGTGATCATGCCTAGTGATCCCCTTGTGCTGTCAACCACATGTGAGTGCACGTCTTACACTAGCTCTTCATCTCTGTACTCAGAGAGACCTCAAGATGTGTCGAGGGGACACAGCTGTGTGTCAGCTCTGTGCTGGCTCTTGCACACTGCACCACTGTCCTGTCTTGAGTCACTTCATTTGCATTCTGGAATCGGAACATTGTCTGCTAATTGTGTGAAATTAGGGCACATGCAGGTGTGCTCTTTTGGAGAAGAGATGTCATTACCCATCATGATATGTGGTATCCCACCCAGTTATTTATTGGCTGTGTAACCAATTGTAGTGTGTGCACATTTGCACACACAGAAACACACACAGACAATCCTTGCTAGCTATTAGTGATGGAGAAGTTAAAGGGTCTTTGTCACTTTCTTCCTTCAGGAAGACTTGAATCTTTGTCTCACACCATATTCTGTGAGCACAGTGCTGTGTCTGAATCGCCATCACACTTGTGGAGAAAGTATAGACATTTGCTGAAGAGGACTCAAGAAGGACTAACAGTCAGGATCTTGTAGGGAGGGAGCAGATCTGGCCTCCATGATGTTTAAGATTCAGTTCTGTATCCTTAGCTCATCCAGTTAGTTGGTATGTTTCAGGGTTTCCATGGAGGTGACATCTCCTTGGTATGGAGACTAGGGATGCAGAGGTGTTCTTTAAGAACTATGGGAAACTGTGAATGCTCATGGGTTAAGGATGGAAGGGTGGACCTGAGAATGTAGGAAGAAGCAATGTTATAAGTAAGAGCATTGTGAAAGGTGGAGTGAGACTTGTTGGATAAAGAGGAAGCTTGATGTAGCTGGGCATGGGATGAGAGTAGGAAACGGAACATGAAAAGATACATTTCATACATCTCTGAAATTTCAAAGTGTAAAGCAATTAAGAAATAAAGCAAACCAAAACAAATAGAATGCTTCTTTTACCCAAGTGCACAACTGGCTTGCACTAAGTCAGGCAGCTAAATACAGCAACAACAGAACACTGAATATGAATATCCCAGGTAGAGCTTAGAACGGGACCGTGTATGATGAGCTTGTGTGTAATCAGTCATCAGATGGGAGTGTCTGGTGGTTGCACCAGTTAGCTTAATTGCCAACTTGACATAGCCTAGAGTCATCTGAGAGGAAAGCCCTGAGTGAGGAATTGTCTAGATCAGATTGGCCTGTAGGCCTGTTTGTAGGGTAGTCTCTTGATCACTAGCTGATGTGGGAGAGCCCAGCCTTCTGTCCTCAGTACCATTATTTGGCAGGTGGTTCTGAGATGTATAAGAAAGCTCATGAAGGAGAGTTAGAGGGACAGTGGTAGAAAAGTAAATGAGGGTAGGCTACCCCAGATGGTGTATTGGGAGGAGAGAAGGTGGGAAGGCATAGGTGGGCATCCAAACAGGATGGAAGAGCAAAGAGACGACCCAGAGGCTCTATAAAATATCCAAGCCATCGTCCATCTAAGGGACTTCCAGCATTAGATTTCTTTTATCCAGAATGGATAAAGCTGTCAATTTCTCTTTCTCTGAGGCTTGATCTTCTGTCTTTCTCTGTCATTCAACATTTCTTTTTTATTGAGACACAACCTCAATGTGTAGTCTTGGCTGTCCTGGAACTCTGTAAGTAGATCAGTCTGGCCTCAAACTCACAGTAAGATGAAATTTCAAAGTAGTTTTAATTTGAATTTCTGTGATGACTAAGAATGGAGAACACTTTTGAAAATGTTTCTTAGTTTGTTGTGGAATATTATTTTAAGATGTGTTACATTTGTTTATGCTATGGAACATTTGTTTTATGATGCAAAGATGTGCTGCATTCTTTTAGGTTGCATTTGTTAAACTCTGTAAAGCTGAGTTATTTTGCCTGTCTAAAACACCTAGTTGGTCTAATAAAGAGCTGAATGGCTGAGGCAGGAGAAAGGATAGGTGGGGCTGGCAGCTAGAGAGAATAAATAGAAGGAGAATAAAAGAGAAAGGAAGATTGAGGAGTGAGAAAAGAAGGGGCCAGCCAACCAGCCACACACAGAATAAGAAGGAAAGATATCGTATACAGACAGAAATAGAGAAAGGTAAAAGCCCAGAGATGAAAGACCGACAGGATAATGTAGGCTAAGAAAAGTTGGCTATGAACTGACCTACTCTGGTGATCAGATGGCTGAATACCCTAACTGTCATCATGGAACCTTCATCCAGTGACTGATGGAAGCAGATGCAGAGATCCATGGCTGGGTGCCAAGCCAAGCTCCAGGAGTCCAGTTGATGAGAGAGAGGAGGGATTCTATGAGCAAAGGACATCAAGATCATGATGGGAAAATGTTCAGAGACAGCCAGCCAAACTAGTGGAAATGCATGAACTGTGGACCAATAGATGAGGAACCCCCATGGTACTAGACTAGGCCCTCTGGATAGGTGAGACATTTGCTTAGCTTGAACTGTGTAGGGGCCCCCAGGCAGTGGGATAGGGATTTGTCCCTGGTGCATGAGTAGGCTTTTTGGAGCCCAGTGCCTATGGCGGAACACCTTGCGCAGCCTTGGTGCGGGGGTGGGGGGGGAGGGCTTGGACTTGCCTCAACTGAATGTACCAGGCTCTGTTGACTCCCCATGGGAGACCTTGCCTTGGAGGAGGTGGAAATGGGGGATAGATTAGGCGGAAAGGCTGGGTGGCAGGAATAGGAAGGAGAGGTTGGTATGTAAAATGAATAGAAAATTTCTTAATAATAAAAAAAGTAAGTAAACAAAAAAGAAAAGTTGGCTAAATAGTGGAGAGGGTTCCTGAATTGGCCAACTACTGTAGTCAGATTGGTGACTACCACAATTGTCATTAGAGATATTCTACCCAGTAACTAATGGAAGCAGATGCAGAGATCCACAGACAAGCACTGGTCTGAGCTCCAGGAATCCTGCTGAAGAAAGGGAGGAGGGATTGTATGAGCCAGGGGGGTCATGACAAGGGAACTCACAGAGACAGCTGACCTGAGCTCATGGGAGCTAATGGACTCTAGACCATCAGTTAGGGAGCCTGCATGGGACCAGCCTAGGCCTTCTGCTTGTGTGTGTGTGTGTGTGACAGTTGTGTAGCTTAGTCTGTTTGCAAGGCTCCTAGCAGTGAGACCAGGACCTGTACCTGGTACTTGGCTGGCTTTTGGGAACCTGCTCCCCATGCTGGATTATCTTGCCCAGTCTTGACACGAGGGGAGGAGCTCAGTTCTGCCTCAACTTGATGGGCCATGCTTTGTTCAAGCCCACAGGAGGCCTGCTCCTTCCTGAATGGAGACAGAGGAGGAGGAGTGGGTGGGGGTGTAGCATGATTTCAAATTAGTCTTAACAATAAAAACCTGGAGTCAGATATCAGGGTCAATGCTGAAAGATCAGAGAGACAGAGAAGCAAGCCACAGCCACCTCTTACCTTGACAATGCCTCAGCCAAAAAGGGCCTTAGCTCTTACCTCCTCCTACCTTATATATT